CTTCCTTTAAAATCTTTCCCATTGCTTGTAAACGATCGGAAATTGTTTGCTGAGCAACGTTTAATCTTTCTGCAAGTTGTTTTTGAGTTTGACACGCATCTTCATCCAATAATGCTTGTCATCGTTGGTCTTCAAACTTTTTCAGTTGACCTGGATATTCTTTGCCTTTCACATCGAAATCATCACTTTTAAAGTGTTTAAACCAGCATTCACAAGTATCTTGAGATGGAGCATGTTCACCATAAGCTTCCTGAAGTATGCGATCACTTTCAGCAGCACTTTTCTTCAAAATAAAGTAATGAATTCAAATTTCCAGCAAATGCTCTTTTTTTGGCACGAAATTTGACCTTTTTAAGCATAAAAATATCTATGATGTTAACACCTTCAGAAAATTTGACATATGAAGTTTTGAAGCTTGTTGTCAATACAACAAAATAGCATACATATCAAATCGCATCTATATCAACATATGTGTAACTCCATCTAGTGAAAAAAATCCGCATTATTAACCGGTCCACCTGGTATAAGAGACACCAGAGCCCAGCGTGGCTCAGTGGTTGAGCATCTACCTATGAACCAGGAGGTCAGGGTTTGATTCCAGGTCAGGGCACATGCCCAGGTTGCGGGCTCGATCCCCAGTAGGGGGTGTGCAGGAGGCAGCTGATCAGTGATTCTCTCTCATCACTGATATTTCTACCTCTCTCTTTCCCTCTCCTTTCCTCTCTGAAATCAATAACAAAACAAAACACAAAGAAGAGACCCCAGAGAGAGCCCTCCCTCCACCTGCTCGCACCAAGGAAAGGCATGTGAGCTGAGCAAGAAGGCGGCCCCTGCAAAGCAGGAGGAGCGTCCTCGCCGAACCGGACCACGCTGGGCCCTGACCTCAGACGTGCAGCCTCCAGAACTGTGAGAACATAACTCTCTGCTGGTGACGGCCCAGGCTGTGCGTTGTATCGCGGCTGCCCGCGCTGGTGACACACGTCCTACGGTGCCCAGGACATGCTTCCTCTCCTGTGCCCATAGATCGCCTGCATAACAAACATGAATTTAAAAAACGTTGGGTTGTTCTGTTGACATTGCACACTGATGGGCCCTTCATTCGGGCACCGGCCCAGAATAAATGACAGGTGGTAAGAGGGCGCCATGAACTATGCAAATGCCCTTTGGGGAAGAGTGAGCGCTTTGTGTTTTTCAATCTGGAAGGCAGGTTGTTGGCGAGGGTGCTGGTGGGCCTGGGTGGGAAGGACAAGGCCCCGACCCAGACCCCCCCTCAGCCGTCCCCACCCCCTGCAGGTGAAGCTGGGGTTGGTTTGAAGTGTCGTCTCTCGCACTGAGAGCTGCTTGGAGGACAACAGCTGGGGCCACACAGCCCTGCTGCTCCGTCCGAGGGGAACAGGTGGAGCTGGGGCCAGAGCGTGAATGCTGGCGATTCACGGGGTGCAGCAGGCAGAGTGCCCGGCTCAGGCCAGTGACAGCTGGCAGCAGGTGGGTGGGGTGTGGAGGGGTGGGTTCAGCCTCAGGAAGAAGGCACCAGAGGGCAGGAGACCAGGGAGGGAAAGAGGGGGAACTCCTGTGCCCCCGCCCCAGGCTGGGGCCGCTGACCTGGGAGGCTGGGGGCCCTGCAGGGTGCGCGACATAAGGAGACCGAGGACATGCTCCCTGTGGCCCCCCATCTTCTCCAAGCCCCGCCACCCTGGGCCGAACCCCAAACCCCAGGCATCTGGGCCATTCCAGCAGCTGTGCCAGGCTTTTGGCTGGTCAGGCCCAGGCAGGGGACCAAAGCAGCTGCCACCCTCCCCTTGCAGACAGGGGTAGGAGCACAAGGCGGTGAGGGGATGGCAGGACAGGCCACGCTTTTCTGTCCAGAATTCTCCTCTGTGCCCTGAGCCCTCACCGTTCTCCTCTAGGGAAGTGACAGAGTAGAAAAGCAACGTCCACTGAGCACAGTGCTACTGACCGTAGAGCCCAGCACCCCGTCCTCCCAACAGCACCACGCCTCCCAGTTCACAGGTGGGAAAACCGAGGCTCCTTCACCAGACACTCGAGAAGGGACAGAGGGACATTTGACGCCCAAATTATTTGACACAAGAGCCCAAATCCACAACCTCTGAGGAGGACTGAATTAGTGAAATGCCCAGCAGTCCCCCGGGGGGGTCTAGGTCCGACTTTCTCAGAGTCAGAACGGAGGGCAGTCAGATCGGTGGAAGCTGAAAACCCCTGTCTCTGGAGATTTCTCCAAGCAGGAGCGACCTCATCGCTTGGGCCTGGTTTAGGAGACGTGTCCTTGGAGTGGGTGGCGGGACCCAGCCCCCTCATTCTTTGGCAGCGAGGTTTGCTGGACATTCCTAGGGGGTCTTTGATCTCTTCGCTTGGGCCTGGTTAGGAGACGTGGCCTTGGAGTGGGTGGCGGGACCCATTGGCAGCGAGGTTTGCTGGACATTCCTAGGGGGTCTTCAGCTCCCAGGTGAGCTCACAGACCCTCAGAGGTGGGGTGCAGTGGACCGTCTCCCTAAAGCTTTACACAGACTAGGTTCCTCCCACCAGCACAGGACCCAGCACCCAGTGGGCAAGGAGCAGCCTCCTCGCCCCACGTCTGGGCTTCCATCTGGCCAGCAGGGGGACCCCGAGCCCCAGGCACCGGCCCGTACGGGGCAGCTGCTCCTGGCTCTGGATGCACCGGACCCCTCAGCAGACCCACATCCCTCCCTGAGCCTCAGTCTCCTACTCTGCGAAATGGGTAAATAACTATACTTCACCAGCCACGTGCGGGGCAAAGAGCTCTACACAACAGAGTGTTGATAGACTTCATTCTTCAGTTGTCGTCCTGCACGGCGTCACAGCTCCGTTTATGTGAAACGTCCAGAATAGGCCAATCCTGAGACAGAACGTGGCTCAGTGATTCCGGGGTCTGAGCGGGAATGGGTGGGGTTGGAAAGAACCGGAAGGTTTCGGGGATGATGAAAACGTCCTAAAAGAAAATTAGGGTGATAGTTGCACACTTCTGTAACTATACTAAACACCACTGAGTTGCACACTTTAAATGGGTGAACTTTATGACATAGAAGTTATATCCCAGTAAAATGTAACTGGGTGCTCTGAATCTAATCGGCAACTCCCCGCCCACCTCTCCATGGCCTCCTCTCCCCCTCAGCACATGCAGAAGCTAGTGGGCATATTTCTTCCGATTGAGGAGCAGGAGGACTGCTTGATGGGTAGGAAGGAGAAAGGGGGCATGAGGGAGTCCCGTTTCTCCCCGCCTTGATTGCCCTTCTGCCCTGTGCCCTTGGTGTGTGAGGGGCAGGCAAGGAGGGCGAGTGGACTGGCCAGGACGAGCTGGGCGGTGCCAGGGCCTGAGCTCTGCCGAGTCCGTACCATGATGAGCGAGCAGGTCCTCCAGGTGGTGTGGTGGACCTGGTGGTGTGGATCTGCCAGAGGCTGCACCCAGGTCAGAGAGGCCCAGATCCACAGCTCACACCCCCGGGCTGGGGGCGGAGGGGGGGCTGCCTGATGAAGGACTGCAGGTGCCAGGGGAGGCTAAGTCTTTTTAAAAAATTTTTATTTTATTATTATTTTTTTAGTCCTCACCCAAGGATATTATTCCATTGATTTTTAGAGAGAATGGAAGAGAGAGAAAGACGGAGAGAAACATCGATGTGAGAGAAACACATCGATTGGTTGCCTTCTGCATGTGCCCTGACCAGGGCCCGGGCCAGGGAGGAGCCTGCCACCGAGGTACGAGGTACGTGCCTTTGACCGGAATTGAACCCCGGGACCCTTTGGTCTGTAGGC